CAATTAAAAATCAAATTAAATAATAAAAATAAAATATGGGCTCATGGCTGAATCTAGGACACGTGGGAAATGATGCAAACTCAAATCAAGTGGAAAAGAATGGGCCCATTTGACAAAATTTGAAGTTTTGGGGATAGTTGACTTTTGGCAATTTTGTAAAAAGGTCCAACTGCAACAATGCATAACTTCTTCAATTTTTAACTTTTGGAGGTGTTCTGGGACTTTTTAGAAACCTTGAGATGTCCTATAACCAACCCTTTTAGTATCATCTCATTTTGATATTCCATTCTCAAGTTATAAGCTTTGGAAAAAAAGGTGTTTTTGTTGACTTCCAAAAATGACCTATAATGTCCAAATTTATAACTTCTTGTGAGTGCTTTTTTTGATCTTGGGGTATGAAGATGAATTGTAGGAAATTGCATCCTCTTCAAAATGAGCTTTGGATGGGTCATTTCTCAAATAGTATGAGAAAGTTATGCTTGTTCAAAGTTGAGTTGACTTTTCCTACAAAACCCTAATTTAGCAACTTTTGAATCTTGATGAGTTTTGAGAAATCCTTGATGAATCATGATAAAACCTTGATCAAATGATGAAATATCCTTCAAAATGAGAATGTTGGCAAAAAATCTTGAAGTTTGACTGTACTTGGGTCACAATTGACTTTTGCCATAGCACAATCGATTTTTGGACCTTTGAGCAATTGACTGAGTAAACTTCCTCTGCAAGGCTTGAAATTTGACATGGATGATCTTGAGAACATATTAGGACATTGGGGATAACTTGAGGTCATTTGGATTCAAATATCTTTATGCAACACAAAACCCTAATTTGGGGTTGACTGCCTTAGGAGATGACTTGTCTGACCCACTCTTGAGCAACCTTGAGCCACTTGGAGATTTTTCTTGCAATGTTTTGAGAAATATGAGATGGAAAATTTTGTGGTACAACAATAACCCTTTGAAGAGAAGGATGTCTTTGGAATCACTCAAAAATACCAAAAGGTGAGCAAGATATGCTCCTTTGAAGTTCAAAACCCTAGCTTCTAGATCAAGAGAATGCCTTGAGGAACTTTGACAAGTTTGAACAAACTTCTTGTACCAATATTATTGCTTGGTGAATAGAAGTTGTTGAAGATGATAATGAGGAATCATAGCCACCAAAACCACTTCCATATCTTGAAATTTGAGAGAAGTATGCTCTTGTGACCAATAGGAACAAGGCCTTGTCCAAACATAACAGCTTCTCCAATCAACCCCTTGTACTTTTGAGTCAAATCTAATAACCTTGAAATGTGATGAAACAAAGCAACCTTGCCATGCCAATTATTTCAAAACCAATCCAATGATGAGGTTTGAACTTCTCAAGCTATGTTGACTAGGGCATGGAAATAAACTCATGGACCCATGGAGTAACTTGTTAAATCTCATTGCCCTTCACCTACATGGATAACAAGCAAGACAAACCAATATTGCATTTTATTAGTTAAATGAAGAAAACAAAACAATATTCATGATCACAAAAGGAACATAAGTCAAGGTGCTTGGTAATCCCTCAAAAGGAGCAAAACTAAATGTAGGGAGGGGAACCAAGAATCCTAGTGTGATCTTGTTGTGAGTGAATTAACATGGTATGATGAAGGGATCTTAGGGGCAAAAATTGGGGTACAACAGATATGTTCTTAGGCACGCTATCTGGTCCATTCTTCAACCACCTGATCGAAAGCTCCTCAGCTGGATTTACTGAACTAATCATGACTGGTGAACGGGTAGAAGCCGGTATTAAAAGTGGCAAAATTCAAAGAGATGTATCCTCGAGCAAGATGAAGAAACCCTTTACCAGAAATAAGGAGGTCAGTGTTGCATATGACCATAGGAATCAAAACAAAACTAAACGTCGCCCGACGGTAGAGGCTGTTATGATTTCTAATCTTGTACCAAATCAACAGTGAAATTATCAACGCAGGCCAGAAGCGCCCATGAGGCGATTCACCCGAATCAACATGACCATGTCCCAAGTTTTGCCACATCTTTTGAAGTCCAAGCTGGTAACCCTAAAGGAAGCTCCCAAGAACCCCAATACTTCCTCTCCTTGCTACAACCCGAATACACGATGTGCCTATCATTCTGAAAGCCTGGGGCATGATACGAACGATTGTTGGGCCTTAAAGAACAGGGTACATGACCTTATCGAGGCAAAAGAAATTGAGTTTGATCCCCCAGAAACACCTAATGTGATAACGGCGCCAATTCCCAAACACGGTCAAGGTGTCAACACTGTTGATGATGATTGTTTTCTTTCCTCCATGAATGACTTAACTACTCCTCTTTTGACTACTAAACATAATTAATTGCAAGCCAGTCTGTTCCTGGGCTGTGATGAAAGATGTCACTTATGTATGTCTATACCAAATGGTTGTTTGTTACTGAAGATGGGCGTCCAACGCCTGATGGCTAACAAAGAAATCCTATTTGAAAAAGTTCCTCTTACCAGAAATTCCTGTGAAGATGTCTCAATAATCACCATTTTCGACAATCCTCCCAGGGTCTCCACCAAAAGACCTGTCAGGATTACATCTATTCCAAAGTCTGCTCCCCTAATCATCACCATGCCAGGGCCAATACCATATTCTTCGGATAAAGTTGTTCCCTGGAACTATGGGGCTGACGTCTATTACTATGGTGTCGAGCAAGATCTGTTGGCTATCAAAGACAAAGTTGCGAAAGACACTGATCCTGACGTCAGAAATATCGCTGGGACCAGTAAGATAACAAGAAGTGGAAGAGTCTTCTCACCCGAGATCTCTCCAAAGACCATTACTACTCCTGTGATTATTCCTGCTACCGCTTCTGCCAGGATTCCCAGTGATACTCCCATTGATAGTCCTACTGTTATCCCTGCTACCGAGACAAGGGGTGAAGAGGTATTGTTTGAGCCTTTCCAGACGAAGGCGCATCCAGAGGTTATTTCTGAAGCTTCTAGCAATGAGATAGAAGAGATACTAAAAATAATCAAGAAAAGTGACTATAATATCGAGGAACAGTTGGGGCAGACCCCCTCGAAAATATCAATGTTGGCTTTACTTTTGTGTTCTGAGGCCCATGCCAAAGCCTTGGTAAAGTTTCTCAAGACCGCCCACGTGCCCCAAGAGACCTCCATTGATCAATTTGAGAATTGTGTGGCTAGTCTAACTGCTGATTGTTGCACCCCAAAATTTGCCCTCCTAATTTCTTCTATTTGGCTTAGACTATCGCATTCATTTGTATATATTCCATTAGGTCATTAACATACATCTGCATTCAGTAAAGCGCTCGTGGTTCAAAGTTCAGTGGCTGTGCGATATTAGGGTTTCGCAACAGATAAGGTGTTTGTATCCAATAAAGTCTGATTCTTCTGATTATCCTTCAAGCAGCAAAATGTGGAACTAGGGTTGCAACCTATGCTTATTGAGGGTTCCGTTTTCTTCAAGTCAAGGGGGTTATTATTCATTCAGATACGTTCAAGACAAGAGTCAGAATGTTTCTCCACCAAGTTTATGCTTGTCAGCATTTCATCAACCGAGGTTCATTAAGTTTTCTAAGTCATGGCCATCTTGGTCACATTTCTTTCTGTATCCCCCATGTTCATTTCCAAGTTGTTCTACAAGGTCATCTAAGAGCTACTAAATCAGGCATTCATTATCTTTTTATGCTCAATTTCATCCTTTGATTAGGGTTTATTTCCCTATGCTTGGGTTTATTGGATGAATTTGGCAGGGCTAATAGTCAAAGGTTCTTCATCAATGACTAGTTAGGGTTTTCTTTCGACCTTTCTCTGTAAATCGAAAGGGGGAACTTATTACTTAAGTCACGAGCTATGTGATCAGAAACTTTATACAGAAGACAAATATGGATATACTGGTGCCCATTTTACCGTTCGATCTTTGTTTATCATTGATTCAAATAAATTCTTTCATTTAGCTATGATGCTTGAGAATCAAGATGTTACATTGCTTAGGCCATACAAGTTATCTCCTTGGTTCCCACACATGGCTTTGAGGTGAACGTGGTGTATTGGGTCATAGTTGCATCCAAGGTTTTGACAATATCTTACTTGAGTTTCTTTGTTTGACTAAGAGTATCCAATCTCATGATGTGTTATATTAAAGGATGCAATTTGAAGCAAAATTTGAAAGGTTAAAAGAAGCTTTTGGAAGGAAAGAAAGATTCAAGTCGTATTTCATCTCCAAGATACCAAGTATCACAAAACTCATCCGAGAAATATTGAAGAATCCAAATGAAATACAAAAATATGAAAGCAAGGTTCAAGATTGAAAATTGGAGAAAATATTAGATGCTTGAAGATTCATTCAAATTAAAACATAATGGAGGGAAATTCAAGCTTTATCATTTTTTAAAAGAAGTCATATTCCCTTATATGAATCAAAGCTATACTCCAAATCCAATTTCAATTGTCATTTCAATATTTTTAAGATCAAAGTCTAAAGTTTCATATGGAAAGTTCGGGTTATGGACTAAGTACATGAAGGAATCTAAGCATGTATTCACTCAAGTTGATTTAAATAAGCTTAGATTCGTTCGATTGAAAATATTTAAGCAAGAGAGTTCATTCAAATTGATAGAATGCGAGACATTGGGATTTCATGAACATAAAGTCAAAGAAGTACTTGGGATACCAAACCCAAAAAGAAAGGAAAGCATTTCATTCATGAGAAACTCAAAATCAAATGGAAAGAAAATAGTTTGAATACTTGATAATTTGTCATTTGATTCAAGATTTCCCAAAGTTACATTTTATTCAAAGAATATATTGCATTACCTTGGTTTGAAGTGAATTACAAGCTCAAAGTCATTTATAATTCACACTATAAATTTCAAGTTCATCCAAACCAAACATTCATTATAAAATCATTACAATCACATTGCACCAATAATCCACAAAGAAAAAACTATTACAAAATGCACTTGAACAAAATTCCTTAGTCCTAAAGGTGCTAAAATTCCATGAGTAAACTTCCAAGTCCATGCAATGCCAAAGTTTGCCATCTTCATATATTCTTCAATCTTCATGCCCCTTCAACCGAACAGCCAACATGTCCAGTTTACCTTGAGCGATTAGATCAAGACACAAGTGGAATTCTTACAACCATATGCAATCATTCTTTCCATTGTTCCTGTATTTCAAAATGGGCAGATTCTTCTTGTCCGGTATGCCGCTAGTTGCCAATATTACCTGCATCCAAAAATAACCAATTGCTGGACTTCATGTCAAAACCACAAATTATGTCCACACTACCCTCTTGGTTTTACCTGATCAAGAAGAGATGAATGAATGATCTCGACAAACTAAGTGACTTGTCTGATTCAATTCTCATTCACATTTTATCATTTTTTTGAACACCAAAGACTCTGTTCAAACCTCTATTTTGTCCAAAAGATAGAACCATGTTTGGAAATATATTCCCATCCTTACATTGCATTCCTAATATTTCTCTACTTTGAAGAGTTTCGATAAATTCATGTCAAGAATTTTGTCTCTTCGCGATAACTCTATAGTACTGCAGGCTGTTGATTTTGTTCGTAATTGTAGCATCGAGTCTTGCCTACTTGGAAGATGTTTTGTGGAAACAATCGTTCTTCTATTAAACAAGTAAACATTGATGCGGAAATGTTGGAATATTACTCGGAGCCTCCTGCTGTTTTACTTAGCTGGCTGCAAGAACTCGCTAATGTCAAATCATTGACAGTCTCTGCAAGTACTCTTCAGGATTTGAACCATCCTCACCCATTCCCGATGGAATAATGAACTTTTTTCTCCAGAACTCGCCATCGGCAGATGTTGACATCATAGACTGCTTAAGGAGAATGCTTTGGAGGATCTGCACCAGAGGATAGAATTCTAAAACATCAACCAAAACTAACGGCTAACAAGTGATAACAGAAACTGCTACAAAAGAAAACAGAACACAGCTCAAGATCATAACATAATTTACCTCTTGTAAAAATCGATCTGAGCCTTCCATCTTTTGTAACTAACTTCTGATCCATTGACACTGATTCTTCAATATCTAACAATATCTCAAACTTCAATTTCATTCACAATCAAAATCCACAAATCAACATAAAAAAATTCAAAACTTACCTCTCAATTATGAGTTTATTTATCAGATTCTCTCTCTATCACTAACCTCTGCACTCTCTCTTCAATCAATTCTCTACAAACAATTCTTGAGTCTTGCATCATTATCTTCATTCATCAACGAATCTGCTTCTGCAACAACTGCGCATCAATGAACCACCACGATTTCAACCTCCTCCTCATCGCACAGCATCCACAAACATAACCGAACCTTCAAACATTCTTCATCTCGACTCCAACATCAATCTTCAACATTGACTGCATTACCAAGAAAATCCCAGCCCTGTAGAAAAATCAGACCAAAAAACCAGTTCATAAACTTTTATCAATAAATGTGCATCCATGTACAATTCAATAAACCAAAAAGAATCAGGAAATGAATCTCAAGGTGAAGAAAACAGGAAAACAGTTATGCAGTTAGCAAGCTAATTGTTTACACCACAAGTTCTTGAATCCAGTTCAATTGAATCCAATAGAAAAAACCAATGTCCGATAACCAGCAGCTCACCATTCATAACCAAATAACCAGAACTACTAACAAACTACCCATACTAACTATTAACCTAACAGTTCCTACCTTCACTTACTACTTCTAAGTAACAGTAGCAAATAACCAATTCCTCTAATTTCCCCCAACAACTTAATCAACTTCCAACAAACCTCCTAACAGCACTGTAACTAACTTTCACAATCTTAACAAACTTATAACAGAAAACATAACAGAATGTTCTAACTAACTCCTAACAGATTTTCTAAGCCTCTTAACTAACTCCTAACAAACTTCCAACAAACTTCCTAACAGCCCTGCATAACTTCTAACAAATTCACAAACTCCTAATTGTCATAACCAATTTCTAACGGAAAATCCATAACTCTAAACAAACTTTTCTAACTGCTTTTTAACAGATTTACTAACTTCCTAACCGCTTAAAAAACTCCTAACCAACTCTCAGCAAGCTATATAACAGAATATATGTTCATAATTGAAAGGGGGATTCAGATTCATTATTTTTTCAACTCTACAAAAATATATATAACAGAATCACGGAAGAAAGAAGAGAGAGGTAGACAAATCGAGAGAAGAAACTCAGAGAGGAAGAAGGGATCATTATTCAAATTCATTTTTAGCAGAATTAAACAAAAAAGAAAAACGACAGAGAAAAATTTGAAAGCTCACCTTTTGGTTCTCTCTGAAAGTAGATAATTTATCAGCTTCAACCTTCTCTCTTCTCCTCTCATCTTCACTCTTCAATCTCAGCAAGCATTCATCTTCTCCAAATCCCTGAAAATTCTTCTACATCTCTCTGTCTCTATCTCTCTCTCTGAACAATCTCACTCCCCGCAATCTCAATCTTTCTGAATTCACCATTCATTCTGCAACATTCTCTCTGTACTTCATCAACAACTCCTCTCATTTCTATGCTTCTTTATTCCACCATCTTCAACATTTTATGAAGCAATTCTTCAACCCTCCACCATTCTACATCCACTTCATCTTCTCCAAGACTCAACTCTTCCTCATTCTCTCGACATCAGCGGTATCAACTCTTGCAATAGAAGCACGAAGATACAATAACGACAATAACATGCATTAATCAACGCAGCCAAAAAAAATGCAACGCAAAAGACGAAAGAAATTCGAGTAGAAAAAGGAGGAAGAAGAATGAGTAGAATTGTAGAACAAGGGTTTGAATACTTACTATTTGGTCTTCCGATTGTGCCTCTGGTTTTCTTACGAATTGGACATTGTGGAAGAGTCATCGAAACTACTCGGGAGCTGTTAGGTTTGCCATCGATTGGATTGATCGAAGAAGAATGTTATTTGTTGTTGACGGAGCAATCAGAGAAGAAGATGAGAGAAAGCATCGGCACGACGGTGTGTGGCGTCTCACGGTGACGCGATGTCGAGCAAAGCCGTGAGAGAAGATAGCAGCATTGTGTGACACTCGATCAGAGGAGAAGATAGTGGCGTTATCAGTCGAGCGTCACGTTATTGATGAAAAGAGAACCGAGAGCTTGTATCCGTATGAGGAATTAAGAACATCACTGTTTTTCAACCCTAATACCAATCTTCCCCAAAACGACCACGTATTCCTTTGTTTTTTTTTAATTTTGTTTAATATTTATTGACATTACATTTGTTTGTTTAATAGGAATAAACACATTATGCTGAAGGATGAGATGGAGTTAGAGAGTGGACCGAATTCCATTAGGCCCATTATCACTATTTTTTTTTTGGAAACTGAAGCTGGTTCAACAAAAAATGGCTCATTGGGCCATCTCCTATGGGCCTAGCACCCTTGCTACACTACACACTTAATCCAGATTTTAACACCCCTCTGTTTTAGATTTAATTGTTTTTCTCCTTATTATATTCTTCTCATAATTTTGATGATAAAAGAGATACAAAAATAGTAGAAATTCTTATTGATATTAGAAATTCTCTTTATATGTTTAATTAGAGTTTTCTATTATTTTCATGTTCGATGGTCATTTTCATTGTCATTTTTTAGCTAGGATTTTGTGATATTATATTGATGTAATCTTTTCGCAATTGGGAATATTTGGAGATTAATCTTTGATCACTCGCACGGAGCAGCTTTTTGGCAAAGTTTTCTGACCGCTTGTGTAGTTTCGAAGAAGCAATGAAATTTCTCCGCTCGGTATCATTGTGACTTCGTTTTATTCTTCATTCTCGTACTTTACTGCTTTTTCTAGAAATCATGAGAAACCGGGCTTTATCGCAAACCATATGCATGCTGACATTAGGTAGAGATTTCCCCTTTTCATCCAAATCTTAGGACCACCATTGCATAATAACTTTAGGTTTAGAAATAGGCTAGTCTCCCTTCGACTTTTCTTCCCTTTTTGCATATGCATTTAAAACCAAAAACTTCTTTTTCTTTCAAACTTCAAAATACTAAAAAAACTACTGATGAGAATCCTGCCTTTGTTAGGTTTGGGAGATAATAAGCGGGTTTCTTCTCGACCTTATTATTCTCTTACTCGGAGCTTTGGCATGGTTCAAGTCCCAAAGACTCATTTCATGAATAAGTGGAGAAATGACTAAAACCTCTCCCTTGAGATCAACTAGCTATTATCCACAAGCAAAAACACCAACAAACACAAAATTCTTTTTGCCTTCGGGCCTTTCTTTCAAAACCTTTTCAAAAGAGCGTATTAATTCACTTCTGTGCTGACGCGTAAATCTCCAAAGGTCGAGTTGCAGCAGAAGGCGAAATTAATATCATTCGCTACAAGCAAAACAAATTCAAACCTTTTGTGCGCCCAAGCACATTTTCTTTCAAAACCTTTTCGAAAGAGCGTGTTAATTCACTTCTGTGCTGACGCGTAAGTCTCCAAAGGTCGAGTTGCGGCAGAAGGAGAAATTACTATCGTTCATTTAAAACATAAACAAATTCAAACCTTTTGTGCGCCCAAGCACATTTTCTCCAAACCTTTTCAGAAAGAATATGTTAATTCACTTCTATGCTGACGCGTAAGTCTCCAAAGGTCGAGTTGCAGCAGAAGGCGAAATTAATATTGTTCATTAAAAAAAATACAAACCAATAAAAACACATAAGACGAATTACGGCTGCTCTGATTCCTTAAAAGGGATACGTAGGCATCGGGGTAGGGCCCGAACAAGCACAACTTTTATTTTCCCTACATTCTTTTCTCATTTCTTTTGCATGCATTCTCCCTTCAGTAGCAGTAATAAACAGTAAGCGTAGATTAAACACACCCATAAGATAGACAACAAGAGTGGATAACGTAGAGTACTACGGGCGTGTGGGGTGCTAATACCTTCCCCTCGCGTAACAGACTCCCTTACCCGATCTCTCGATCACAAGACCGTGACTTTTCCCTTCTCAGGTTTTCTCGATGTTTACCTTTCCCTACGTGTGGGATAAAATACTTTTGATGGCGACTTCATTGTTTGATGATTTTCAGCCGATTGTTTCAGCTGGCGACTTCACTGGGGACAGGTCGACCAAATGCTGGTCCATCCCGGAGTCGCTCCTAGCTCTTGTTTTCTTTTCTTAGGGTGTTTATTTTTATGCTTTCAGTTTACTCATTTGTACATGTTTAGCTGAGCATAAGTTTGCATTGCATTTTATTGCTTTCCATTTTGGTTATCTATTATGCTGGATCTGCTTCTTGTTTGGGTGGGGATGTTACTATTGAGGTAAAAGGCCCAGTACCCAGGCCAGAGTGCACTAGGACACTAGGAATAGAGTGGGGGCATGACGACTATAGGACGTGGTCCGATTAGTGCAGTCATGTCATATACCATACTCGGATGAGGTTCAAATGAATTACTATCGGCATCCACGTATGTGGGTAAGCCCATATCACTTTCAGGCGAACCCGTGATTTTTGAGTTACCATTGTCTTACCCTGACCTAGTCTTCACCCGTGAGCGGGGAAGGAATTTTATCACAGGTACAATTGGTGACTATGTTCAAATGGTTACTCGTGCTCAGATGGTGACTATGTTCAGATGGTTACCGATGCTCAGATAGAGACTGCGATCAGACAACGATTATTGGTTCTAATGATTATGTTCTGGATTTCTATTGATGACTTTATTCAGATACTATTTTCTGCTGGTAACTGTATGGTTCTCAGTTTATTTTATGAATTACTGGTTTGTATACTTG